CCCCAAAACCCCAAAACCCCAAAACCCCAAAACCCCGTGGATTTACGAAAGCATTGAAGTTCAAACCTTAAAGTGTCGATAGCAGAGCTATAATAAAAGAATTGAAGAACAAGCTCATATCGAGAATCAAAGCTTCTTTCAGAATAGATTACCTAAAGATCAAGAATGGTTCAATGGTTGCACTACTTTTCAAATTAGACCTCCCCAAGAGCAAGAATGGCTCAATGCTTGCACTACTTTTCAAATTAGACCTCCTCAAGAGCAAGAATGGGGTAATCTTACCAATACCTTTATGCCGAGACCTTTCCACAATGCTGAGTTCAAAGAAGTCAACCCTCTTATTCATCTTCCCCAGCACAGAATCAACAAATCCAAAAAGCTCCACCTTTCAACCTACCCCAAACTTATCAAAAAACGTGACAAAAAGGCTCTCAGCAAAATCCAAAACCTCATTTACGCCACTTGCAAACCCTCTGAAATCACCTTGACTCCTAACTCCAACTCAACCCATCCACGGAGGTTCCCCCTATACTGCATATCACGCACCTTCCGTGACCCCTCTAATCACCTGAATCAGCCAAACTCTTCTCCCACCTTTACTCAGGAGGATGACCAAGACTCCGACATCGAAACAGTGGAGGACGCCGTCGAAAAATGCCACAACGACTTAAGCCAACTGCTTCAAGACCTGAGAACAGAAAAGAACTTTAGGGAAGTGTACCCCGATATGAAGTTTGAGGAGGACTTAGGCCGCAGAGCTCAGATAAGATTCTGAGTAGCACTTTATGTGGAGCAGAAGGTCAACGAATATAGACACAAGAGGATAGTTCACAAGTGGAAGTTACAAGAAGAGAGAAGGAAAGAAGAGGAGATACAAAATAGTTTGGAAGATAGTTAGTTTTTAATTTTATAGGGTTGGGAGCTGAGATACTCATATCATAAATGCATGTCAATGCTTCATCTCACTTTTCCAGATCGACTCACTCTTTCAAAAATCAGCTCATTAAAGTCTCCTCAAAGCTTATTTATGCAAATTTCACAGATCTATTTATCGCTAATTGTCCAACTCTATCTGACCTCCAATCCTACCTCTTGTTCATCTCTTCTCTTACAATCTCTTATTTCAAATACGTTAATGGCCATAACTGCTCTCTTTCGCGTTCTAAAACTCTCTGCCTCATAAGTATCTAAATAGCTCTACTCTGGTATAATCTGCCTTAAACTTAAAATCTTACCTTGTTCCATATTTTCGAACTAAGAATTACTCATTTAAAGTTCTGTAGAGAGAGTCAAGAGAAGTTTAAATAGGCCAAAAGACTCAAAATCACTGTTTTGATAGATTTAAAAAAGACTTTCAAATACCAAAAATTTGCCTACAACACAAAATAGTCTTCCTGGTTTGACATATTTTAGAGGAATGAAGCTTCACATAATAAGAGAACGACGTGTCTAAACCGAACTGAAAGAGAAGTGAACAAAGGATTCAGAAGTTTATGATCTGGATCAAGCCAACTGGGAGTCTCTGTATGACTTTGTTTTGCTAATTACTTCTATATCCCACATCTAATTCCTTTCCAAAAAGTTTTCGTACCATGTTCGAATTTATTCAACTGCCATTTATAAGAATAAAACATCAATACCATAAATCTCCACTGGGGTTTTGGGGTTTTGGGGTTTTGGGGTTTTGGGGTTTTGGGG